AAAATAAGAGGCCTAGAATAGCCAAAGTAATGCTCAGTGAGAAAAATGAATCAGGAGGCATCACAATACCAGATGTTAGATTATACTACAGAGCTATAGTAACAAAAATGACATGGTATTGGCACCAAAACAGACATGAAAACCAATGGTACGGGGCTGGGGATGTGGCTTAAGCAGTAGTGCGCTCACCTGGCAAGCGCAGGGCACTGGGTTTGATCCTCAACACCACATAAAAATGAAGAATAAAGATATTGTGTCCACCTAAAAAAAAACTAAAAAATAAATATTTAAAAAAAAACAATGGTTCAAAATAGAAAACACAGAGACAAATCCACATCAATACAGTTATCTCATACTAAAAAAAGGTGCCAAAAAACATACATTGGAGAAAAGATAGCTTCTTCAACAAATGGTGCTGGGAAAACTGGAAATCCATATGTAGCAAAATGAAATTAATCCCCTATCTCTTATCCTACACAAAAGTCAACTCAAAGTGGATCAAGGATTTAGGCATTAGACCAGAGAYCCTGTGCCTAACTAGAAGAAAAAGTAGGCCCCATTCTCCATCATGTTGGCTTAGAAACTGAATTTCTCAACAAGATTCCTAAAGCACAAGAAGTAAAATAAAAAATCAATAAATAATACTATACAAACTCAAAAGCTGCTTCACAGCAAAGGAAACAGTCAAGAACATGAAGAAAGAGCCTACAGAATGAGACAAAATGTTTGCCACCTGTACCTCAGATTAATCTCTAGGATATATAAAGAACACAAAAAAGTTAACACCAAAAAACCCCATACCCCAATAAATAAATATGCAAAGGTACTGAGCAGACACTTCACAGAAGAAATACAAATGGTCAACATATATATGAAAAAATGTTCAACATCTCCAGTATTAGAAAAATTCAAATCAAAACAAAATCAAGATTTCATCTCAGTCTAGGCAGAATGACAATTATCAAGAATATAAGTTAACAATAAATGTTGGCAAGGATGTGGAGGAAAAGGTACACTCATACATTGCTGGTGGGACTGTAATTGGTGCAACCACTCTGGAAAGTAGTATAGAGATTTTTCAGAAAACTTGGAGTGAAACCACCATTTGACCCAGTTATCCCACTTCTCGGCATATATACTAATGACTTAAAATCAGCACACTATAGTGATAAAGCCATATCAATCAATGTACATAACAGCTTAATTCACAACAGCTAAGCTATGGAACCAACCTAGGTTACTTTCAGTAGATTAATAGATAAGGAAAATGTGGTACATATATACAATGGAATATTACCCAGCCATAAAGAATGAAATTATGGCATTTGCTGGTAAATAGATAGTTTTTTTTTTTAAGTGAAATAAGCCAATCCCAAAAAACCAAAGGCCAAATCTTCTGATATGTGGATGTTGACTCATAATAGGCTGGAGGGGAGGGAGGAGTGGAATTTTATTGGATTGGACAGTGGGGAATGGGGGAAAGGAAAAGGAATGGGACTGGGAAAGGCAATAAAATGAATTAGATTATAACTTTCCTATACTCATATATGAATATATGACCAGTGTAACTCCACATCATGTACAACCACAAGAATGGGAAGTTATACYTCATATATGTATGACATGTAAAAACACATTCTATTGTCGTGTATAACTAAAAAGAACCCCCCAAAAAGTAGCTCAAATCCAATTTTGTCCCATTTCAAAATCTGGTGCTTGAACCACTGTTCTACCCCTCTCCCCACTAAGTCACCTTGTTAAGTGAAATAAGCCAGATTCAGAAAGACAAGTATTGAGTGTTTTCTCTCATAGTGGAAACTAAACTTTAAAAAAACAAAAACAAAAAGGAAAAGGGACTGATGGAAAGGGGGAAGAGAATGCTGAGAGAGGGACTGATAAGGGAGGTGGATATGATAAAAGTACATCACACATGTGTGGAAATGTCAGTCAAACCCATTAATTAATCTGTGCAGTTTATATGATTTAATATTAAAAAATAACTACCCCTCCTGTATAACACTCACAAAGAAATACAGCAGACAAACAAAAGTGTCAGGAATAACAAACATCTGTCCATAATAACACTGAATGTAAATGGTCTCAACTCTTAAAGTCATAGGGTGGTAGAATGGATTTAATAAAAGAAGAAAAGAAGATACAATTATATGCTGTTTTGTTTTCTTATTTGTTCTTTTTAGATATACATGACAATAGAGTGTATTTTGACATATTACACGTACGTTAAGTATAACTTCCCATTCTTACATGCTGTTTTCAAGAGACTCATTTCATTACCAAAGATATCCACAGGCTAAATGTAGGATTAAAAAGGAAAAAARAAAAGATTTTCCATGCAAATCTAAAGACAAGTAGGAGTAGGTTGGACATATGGAACAAGGTAGATTTCATGCAAAAATTAATCCAAAGAGACAAGATCACTACATATGGGTAAAGGTCACTACATATGGGTAAATCCAACATGATGATATAACAATAATAAATACATATGCTCCAAATGTCAGTGTACCTAATTATATTTAATAAATACTTCTCAACATTAAATCCAAGATAGACCCCAATACAATAATACTAGGGGATTTCAGCACACCCCTCTCACAAATAGACAGGTTATCCAGACATAAGATCAATAAAGATACTTCTAACCTAAATAATACTATAAATAAAATGGTCCTAAAAGATATCTATAGAATAGTTCATCCAAAAACAGCCGAATTTACTTTCTTCTCAGCAAATCAAGGCATCTTTTCCAAAACAGGCAATTTATAAGTTTTAGCAAATACAAAGAAACTGATATAATCYTGTGCATATTATCAAATCATAATGGAATGAAATTAGGAAGAAAAAACTATAGAAACTACATAAACCCATGGAAATTGAACAATAATCTTTTAAAAGAGGAATGTATCATATAGTAAATGAGAGGAGAAATTAAAATACTCCTTGAATCAAATGAGAATAGTGATAAAACATATCAAACCTCTGGGGTACTATGATAGCAGTTCTAAGAGAAAAGTTTATAACATTAACTGACCATATTAAAAGAAAGATCCCAAATAAGCAACCTAATCTTTAATCTCAAGTCCTATAAAAGCAGGAGTGAACTAATTCCAAAACCTGGAGAACACAGGAAATAACTAAGGGTTGAAAAGAGGAGGAGGTGGAAAGAAACTATACAATGTATTTTTAGTATTACCAAGAGTTGGTCCTTTGAAAAGATAAACAACATCGATAAACCCTTCACTAAAGTAACCAAAAGAGAGGGAAGACCCAAATCAACAAAGTTAGAGATTTAAAAAAGGAGATATAACCTCAGACATACAGAAGATCAATCATAAGGGACTATTTTATACAGAATAAAGGACTATTCTGAAATACAGAAGATCATAAGGAACTATTTTTAAAACTAAATGGAAAATCTGGTAGATAAGGACAAATTTATAGACACATTTTACCTACCCAAATTGAACCAAGAGAATATAGAAAACCTAAATAGACCAATATCAAGCAACAAGATTGAAAATTCTGGGGCTAGGTGGAATATAACCTTCTGATAGAGGAATAATGACCCAGAGCTAGTACAGCATGTTTATTACATAGATTTTTTTCATTAAAAGGTTATTTGTGGGAAAGTTTCAGCAAAGAAGGAAATCTGAAGAATGCAGGACTGGCAAGATATTAGGATTATCTTGTTATGCCCAGAATTCTCTATCCCCAGGAGTTGGTGCCTGAGCTCAAAGTCTCAACTGACAACAGCTCTGCACCTTTGAACAGAGCCTCCTCAGCCCAGCATCACCATAGCAACTGAGACATCTTGACCTGTACCTTTTCACAGGAAGTTTCCAGTGCAAAGCAGCCACAGGCGATCAGAGACTATGGTTCAAGTCACTGTTCTCCATAATCCTTGATGAACACAGATGCAAAAATCCTAWATAAATATCTGCAAACTGCATCCAAAAACACATTAAGAAGATTATATGTCATGATCAAGTGGGTTTCATCCCAGGGATGCAAGTTTAGTTCAATATATTTAAACCAATAAATGTGATTCATCCCATAAATAGAATCAAGGACAAAAATCATATGATCATCTCAATAAATACAGAAAAAGTCTTGGACAAAATTCAGCACCCATTCATGTAAAAAACACTGAAGAGTGCTTGCTTTGGCAGCACATATACTAAAATTGGAATGATACAGAGAAGATTAGCATGGCCCCTGAGCAAGGATGACATGCAAATTCGTTAAGCATTCCATATTTTTTATAAACACCGTATTGTAAGGGGAAAATATAATGTCTTAAATAACTGTATTTAAAATTGGCAAAAAAAAAAAACACTGAAGAAACTAGGTATAGAAGGAACATCCCTGAAATCCCTGAATACTATCCAGGCTATATATGCTAAACCCATAGTCATCATGATACTAAATGGAGAAAAACTGAGTGCATTTCCTCTAAAATCAGAAATAAGACAAGGATGTTCATTCCACCACTCCTATTYCATATAGTTCTTGAAACTGTAGCAAGAATAATCAGATAGTAGAAGGAAATTAAAGTGATACAAATAGTAAAAGAAGTCAAACATCTCTACTGATGACATAATGCTAAACTTAGAAGACTCCTCCAGAAGATATCTAGATAAGCAAATCACTGAAGTTATAGGATACAATATCAACACACAAAAATCAATAACTGTTTCTATATTCCATTAAAAAATGCACTGAGAAAAAAAGTTTAAAATTATTCCATTCACAATAATCTCAAAAAATGTATTTGAGAATAAATCTAACAAGAGATTAAAGACTTTCATAATGAGAATTATAAAATATTGAAGAACAGAAGATGAAAATACCTACAATGTTCACTGAGAGGTAGAATTAATATCAATCTATAGATTCAATGCAATTCCCATCAAACTACCCAGGGCATTCTTCCACACAGTTTATGATCAAATTAGTTATGGCAAATGGATGTAACTCACATCCYTCAGTTTGGCAAAAATTGCTATGTTCATGTTATTGTTGAGACTTATTCTCGATTTATCTTTGCCACTGCCTGTGTAAAAGAGAATGTTCAACATGTTATTTCTCATTGCCTAGCTGCTTTTGCAGTATTGTGCTGTCCTTTATTAGTTTTAAACTGACAATGCTCCATCTTATACTAGTTCTTGTCAACAGTTTTGCCACCAATTTCATATTGATCATAAAACAGGCATTCCTTATATCCTCAAGGTCAAGCCATTTATTTATTAAGCTGCAATCACAAAAAACAAAAAGTGGGAAATAAGACCCCACAAAATAACCTTAATCATGCTTTGTTTTAAAGTTTTCAAATTGTTATTCCTAAGGTCACACTGCTACCAAGAGACACATATCTTCTGCTATAACAGGTCTGTTTGGGCCTAGTTTGGTGGAAAGATCTACAAACAGGACAATGCAAAAAACAAGATTCAGTGATCATATGGGGTAGAGATCATAAGGGGTAGAGGTCATACTTGYGTTTTCCCAGAAGGTGCATTTCATCCTATTTGGGTACCTGATTGTGCCATCAGGCATGGAGGACCTGGAGCCAAAGTTCAAATGACTAAAGATCAATCCAGAGATGTCAGCCCTGATCCCCAGCAAGATCAGGAAGCTAATAAGGAGGAAAAGGGTGAGGAAGATCTTGTTGGATCAAACATGTGCCCTTGTGCCCTTGTGGAAACAACTAAAGAATCTAATGCAACAGACCGAGCAGATGGTTCATCAACAAGTAAAAATTAAAGTCTCCAACCATAATGTTTGTGGCCATGATAGCGCTATTGAGCTGTCACGTAAGTAGGGGCCCTGGAGAAACTTAYTGGACCCATTTACCTTTAGTGCATCCAGTGGTATGGACTGGAGAATCCATCCCAGTATTTACTCATATGATGGAAGGTTTTATAGATACTCACATTACACCCATCCATGTGACTGAATCTAATTATACTGGCTACAGTAGGCAACTACCTATATGCTGGTCCCATAATAAACATGCTGGATGTTTAAAGAAAAAGACAGCATTTGGGGGACCTAGACCAGCCAATTGTATTGGCCCATGGGACTCAAGATTATATGTCCAGACAGTTATTAAAATGGGACTTTCTCATAACAAGCCAGTCCACAGAACATCCACCAATACCTTACTGCCCTAATCATTCTGCAATAGAATTTTGCACCTTTCCTAAATGGATGGAATGTGCAAAYGTCTTTCCAGTACAACTTAAAGCTTCTGGAAATGGTGGATATATTTTGGATTGGTCTCCAAGAATTGATAAAAGACAACTACATAAGGATGTCATGACCCCTGGAGGTTTCATTGGTAATATTCTAATCTTCAGTGAAGGTGGTATCCAAAAAGATCTCTGGTGTTTAATTGCAGCCTCAATTTTTCTACATTAAACAGATGGCCATATGCTTGACTTTGTAGGCAGGAATTGCAAAAAGGGCAATTTTTGCATCTCTGTGGCCTGAGAGCCTGTGTTCAATTTCCTTATGCCTTAATTRCTGTAACTGTAAGACTTAAGAAAAAAAGGTAAAAAATATCTTGTAGCCTATAAAAGATGCAATCTAATTACATCACTAGATTTAACAGAGAGAGGAATGTTAATCCTTCACGAACTCTCCTGTCTCACTGCCAGCCAATATTTCACAACAATGGTATGCTGATGCTGGTGTTCAACTTTTAAAACAGATAACCAGAGCCAAATGAGCTCTTGGTCTCATAATTCTTGGAGTGGCCGCTTTAATCTCCTTTATGGCATCTACAGTAATAGCTTCAGTAGCTATATCTCAAAACATTCAACACGCAAATTTTCTTAATAATTTTGCTCAAAATACTTCTAAAGCCCTCCATAATCAGATAATATTGATGAGAAGATTGAAACTAAAATGCCTTGGAAACTACTGTCATAAATACAAGTAATGAGCTTTCCTTTCTCAAATTTAAACAAAGGCTTAAATGCCATGCTGACTCCAAGTATGTCTGTTACTGCCAAATATAATGCTTCCCAATAGGATTGGTAAAAGGTTAAAAATCATCTATTGGGTATTTGGCATAGCAATAATAATAGCTCGGCTCTTCTGGAGAAGATTCAATTCATTTATTACATCATCACATCCAGGATATTCAGAAAAGTAAAATCAATCTTATGGATTCTGCATCTCWAGCTGATCAGATACTTCATGAATTGAATGGCTTTAATCCTGGAAATATGTTGAAACATTCTGCATGGTATATTATTGGAATGATATGTTTGCTACTAATTCTTTTTGGTGCATACSCTCAGAACAAGGACCTAGGAACTCAAAATAATGGTCCATCATTTGCATTTAAAAAATGTGTGGGGAGCCATCCATGAACTGTGCATGAATCAACATGGAAGCCATTAGGCAGGAAAGTCTGGTATCAGGAACTCCCAGCATAACTCTACTGGTTTGAGAATRCCCAATTCATGTGACTTCCTATATAGCTCCATCAGAGGTTAAGCACAACACCAGAGATGGGCATGACCCATTAAGAACCAAAGATCCTGTTTACCCCTACCCCTATTCCTGTTTTTCTAGAAGCTCCTATCAAACCCTTTTGATCTGTACCGCTATATATAAAGCAAGCATGGGCTCCTTCTTTGTGTTAGAAGCTGTACACCTCTGGTCAGTTGAGTCCATCATTTATTATTTCTGATCTCTCATGTTTATTTCATGGTACTATTTACATAGTTTTTATTTGACAGCCAGCCCATCCTCCAACAGGAACTTTTTCCTCGCACATGAACAAGACCTAACACTAAAAAGACTTAATAACTGACTCAATAAATGGATGAATGATCTAGACATTTCTCAAAAGAAGAAATACAAACGGCCGACAAATATATGAAAAAATATTCAACATCCTTAGCAATCATGGAATTTCAAAKCAAAACTGCACTAAGATTTCATTTCAACCCTCAAAATGGCAATCAACAAGAATACAAATAACAAGGACTGGGGTTATAGCTCAGTGGTAGARCACTTGCCCAGCATATGTGAGGCACTGAGTTCAATTCTCAGCACCACATATAAATAAATAAATAATCCACTGACGACTTAAAAAAAAGAATACAAGCCGGGTACAGTGGTGCACACATATAATCCCAGTGGCTCAGGAGCCTGAAGCAAGAGGATCAGGAGTTCAAAGCCATCCTCAGCAAAAGCAAGGTGCTAAGCAACTCTAAAACACAAGATAGGAAGGGGGTGTGGCTCTGTGGTCAAGTGCTCTTGAATTCAATCCCCAGGACCCACCATCCAAAAAAGAATACAAATAACAAGAATTGCTGGCTAGGATATTAGGGGGAGTACACTTATACATTGTTGGTGGGACTACAAATTAGTATACCACTTTGGAAAGCAGGGTCAAGTTTTCTCAAAAAACTAGGAATGGGGGCTGGGGTTGTGGCTCAATGGTAGAGCACTCGCCTATTACTTGTGAGGCCCTGGGGTCGATTCTCAGCACCACATATAAATAAATAAAATAAACGTATTGTGACCACCTACAACTAAAAAATAAATATTAAAAAAAAGACTAGGAATGGAACTACCGTATGACACAGCTATCCCACTTCTTGATATTTATCCAAAAGATCAAATCAGCATGCTATATAATGATAGATTCATAAATATAAATAGCAGTACAATCAACAAGAGCCAAGTTATAGAACCAGCTTAGGTGCCCAGAAGTAGATGAATCAATAAAGAAGATGTGGAATATATACGCAATGTAGTTTTACTCAGCACAAAGAAGAATGAAATTATGTCATCTGCTGGCAAATGGATAGAACTGGAGAAAATCATGCTAAGTGAAATAAGCCAGTCTTAGAAAGTCAAGAGTCAAATGTTTTCTCCCAAACATGGAAATTAGAAAAAAAGAATAAAAAAAGGAGAACTCATAAAAATAGAATGGAGAGCAGCAAAGTAGAAGCAGGGAAAAGGGTGAGTGAGGAGGGGAGGCAAAAGGGAAGAACCAGGGAATAAAGTTGACCAAATTATTATTATGTGCAATATGAGTATATCACAATGTATTGTATTTTTATATGTAACTATAAGGCAGCAATTAAAAATAAACACACAGAAGGAAAACCAATAGAGAAAAGCAATCAAAGCGAAGGAGGAAGAACAGAAGGAGATAAATAATGGGGATTGAAATGAAGAAAACTATGCTATATACATTTATGAATATGTCCAAAATATTATAATATATTATGTAAAACTACAATGCACTAAATTTTTTAAATACCATAACATGAATCAGAAATACAAGTTCATTTAAAAATTTTTGCTACCAAAAGCACACAYAATCTAATAAATAAATTAGTTGAATATACACTTCTCCAAAGAAGTCCAAATGGCCAATAATTACATGAAAAAAAATGTTCACCATCTTTAATCACTAGGAAAATACAAATCAAAATTACATTCAAATTCTATCTCACCCCAGTAAGAATGACTATTACCAAGAACACAAAAAATAATAAGTGCTATTGCAGCTGAAGGAAAAAAGGTACCCTCGTATACTATTGGTTAGAATGTAAATTAGAACAGCCACCTTGGAAATCAGAATGGAATTTCCTTAAAAAAAAAAAAAAGAAAGAACTGAAGATGGAGTTTTCAAATGATACAGCTATTCAATTATTCTTGAAGGATAGAAGGATAGAAATCAGCATACCTGCATATCCATGTTTAATGTACCACTATTCATAATGGCCTAGCTATGGATTCAGCCTAGCTTACCAACAGATTAATGGATAAAGAAAATGTGATATATGTATGTGTGCACACACACACACTGGAGTTTTATTTCAGAAATAAGAATGAAATTGTGCCATTTGCAGGAAAATGGATGGAACTGGACAACATAGTAAGTGAAACTGAGAAAGGCAAGTATTACACTGTTTTACACTGTTTTCTCTCATATGTAGAATCTAGGAGAAAGAAGATAACATGTAAATAGAAGGGAGATATTAGGGAAGGGAAAAGTGAGTAGTGAGAGGGGGAAAAGGGAAAAAGAAGGAAATAGGGAGGATGCATATTCAAATACATTATGTGTATGTACAGAACTTTCATAATGAATACCATTGTTTCATGCAACTAATATGCACTAATAATTATAATTTTAAAATAAAATAATTTTAAAATGCCTGTAATAAGGTTCAATGAATRTGTTAAATTTATATGTAATTTTTGCAGAAAAAAAACTCCAGGTCGGATTTTCTAATAGAAATTTTAAAATTCAAGGCAATCTGTTTCACATAACCCTCTATAATGAATAAGATGGATGTAATATAGATAACTCCCTCCCATATGGAAAAAAGGTAAGTATTTGTGTTGCTAGTTGAATGTTTCTACTTAAGCACTTTGTTTAAAATTTATATGGAACTCTGAAAGATGCTGCATGATACCAAATGAAGTAAATATTTTTTATTTAAAAAATAAAAAGAAGGAAATTCTGTTATTTGCAATAACATGGATGAACCTAGAGAACATCATGCTAACTGATAAAGGAA